TGTAACAACTCTATCCCAGGCCCATTTGATATGGATCTAGCCCACGAAATGAAGGCCCGTGAGTGAAAAGCCCAGGAAAAGGGAAACCTTAGTAAGGGTAATTTAGACAATTCCCATAGGAGAATAGGGTTTCCTACGACTCTTCTATATAAAGGGGGAGAACGGGACTTTCAAGGAGGAGAGAAAGACAAATTATTGGCGAAGATCCGAGCGTGGGAGAGAAGAGGAAGAGAGGTAGAGCGCAAGGAAGAGGGCTTGGTTGCACCTATGACCGCCGCCGTTGTTGCTGAAGAGGAGATCATCACAGAATTTATCACATCAGAGAGATCTCGTGGTATCGTGAAGCCGAGCCGCCATTCATTAGAAGTCGCCGCTGGCGATAACCATCGATAGGGAAGGAAACCCTAGCCATCGTTTGCCTAGTATTCAAGGCGACCCAAAAACCCTAGATCAGGTTTAGGAAAACCCCTTAATGTTTGGGAAGGGGAGACTCTAGCCGCTGGGAAAGGAAGCCCTAACTTTCTACGTTGGAAAAACCCTAAGATCTCGGAAGGAAAACCAATCCTTCCCGAAGTATGAAGTTTTCAGAAATGGAAACATCCTAAAAAAGGAATCTTTCCCGGATAGAAACTTTCTTAAAATGGAAACTTTCCCGAAAAGGAAAGTTTCCTAAATGGAAAAGTGATCGGAACCCTAATGTCTCTCTATGTCTATGCACTTCCATAGATGCTCTTTTCTGCTTTTCTTGTCAACCGCAAGGCTAAGGTGAGGGGGTGATATGTGGATACACAAGACTCGTAACTTTTCTTGCTTATGTTTATGTCATGTCTAGGGATAGTTATATAGTGTTGTATGTGTAGTATGTTTGCTAGGTTGATTGAGGAATGTAAATGGAATACATGGTTATGTGATTTCATTAGGTTGACCTGTCATGAGTTAAGGAACTGTGACAGTTGGTTGTCGGGCTGTATCAGTTAGGATATCGATCGTCTTGTAGTATATAGTGTAATCTATTGGGGGTGTTGGATCCCTGCCTATATAATATATTGGGGTGCTTATTCAGGAAATGTCATGATTTAGTTTCATTTTACTTTGTATTAAAGACTTGAGTTGGTTTTACTCGGTTGAAGATGTGGTTCCGGTTTTCATGATAAACCTTTTTGTATTCTAGTTTTAGTTCAGTAAAGGCATTTTAGACTTTTCAGTTACTTGCGTTTATTACTTATCTAATAACAAACCACCCCGGATCCGATAACCCGGGTGTGGGGTGTTACAGTAATGGTACCGGGTTCAGCATCCATCATCATGACTTGACGTAGATCGATTCGAATCATCCGGACTAGGTCCACAAGGGCG